GGTTAGGCTTAGGGTTTGTGTTAGATTCAGGTTTTGTGTTCGTTCTATGGGTAGGTTCAGGGTTAGTGTTTGGGTCAGGTTTACGTCTAGAGTCAGAGTAAGTGCTTGGGTTTGTGCAAGGTTTAGGATAAAGGCAAGGTCTCTTATCGAATTAGCTTTAGGATTATTGTTAGGGTTAGGTATAGCGTTAGGGTAAGGGCCATGTCTAGGTTTAACGTTAGGATCATCATTAGGGCTGCTGTTAATGTTAGGCCTGGAGTTAGGTCTAGTGTTAGTGCTAGGGTTAGCGTTAAGGTTGGTTCTTGGTTTAGTGTTAAGGCCAGGTTCAGGGTAGGGGTAAGGACTATTGTTAGGGTTAGGCTTTGGGTTTGCGTTACTATTAGGGTTGGGCTTGGAATTAATTTTATGGCTAGGGTTGGAGACAAGTGACGAGTCAGTGACAGGGTAAGTACTTGCTTTAGGATTAGGGTTAGGTTTTTACTTATGTTTAGCGTTAAGGTAAAGCAGAATTTAGCGTATGTATTAGCTTTAGGATCGGGGCAGGGTTAAATTCAAGATTAGTTTTAGGCTTAGGTGTGGGTTGGGTTTGGGGTTAGGTGACAGCTAGTGCTAGGGGGTGTAGGGGTGGGCAGTTGTGCGTCCACGCAAAGATCGTATTACGTCGCTCATCTGCTTGCAGATGTAGACTACATCTAACGTCCACTAACTGGCGCACAACACTCACCCGTGGCTCCCCGAGGCTAGGCTCTGTCTAGCGGCCACAGATCGGTAACCTCCTCAACCGGATGGCTAAATCAGGTGAAGGTATCCGCGTGCCCATCTCTACACATTGTAACTCGACTCTGCCGGCCAGATTAAGCACCGCCTCGGCATCTCCGAGACGAGACAACAAGGTAAATGCCCCCAGGTAAGCGAAACATTCTCCGTTGGATTGCGATCTACCCTTGTTAGAAACTAAATGCCGTTCTGCTGAATGACCTCTGTTGCTTTGTTTTCCGTTGTTCTTGCCTGCTCGCGTTTGGCTTTATTGTAAGTTAAATGCCGTTCTGTTGAATTTGTCCGCTTAGAGTGGGACGGGGGGGCTCTGCATCCCCCCTCCCCCCCTTTTCAAGTCCTACTTATCGTCGTAGGCAGGCCCAAGCTAACTAGGGTCGCCCTCCCAATAAAAAAACGTCATGATCCATAGTGGAGTTCGACAGCCACCTTAAACAACTGAACGGACCTATTTAAGGACACCACTGCTCATCCCGCGAGGGGGAAGGAGCTAGAAAAGGTTTCTAAACAAATACTGGGGAACCACAACACCTGCAGGCTGGCCAAGGTCGCAGACGTTAAACTCACGATCGAAACATCCAGAAACGAAACAACACTTTTTCTTCCTCCTCATCATCCTCCTTTCTCCTCCTCCCCCTCCTCCTCCCGCTGCTTCACTCGCCAGACTGTCAGGGTGAGTTCTCCCACTCTGACGGCTTGTAATGTTTGTTCCCTATTAGACAATCTGAGGAGCAACCGGCCGGAACGAAGGACGGCGCTAGTAGCTCGGGAACTGGCGCGTTACAAGGTGGGCATCATTGCACTCAGTTAGACCCGGTTCTCCGAACCAGGCCACTTGGAGGAGGTTGGTGCCGGTCACACCTTCTACTGGAGTGGCAGCCCGAAGGCAGAGGTACAGGACGCGATTGTCGCCTTTGCCATCCGAAAGGACAGCGTGGGACGACCGCCCTGCCTTTTGCAGGACAACAACGATCGCCTGATGAGCCTCTGTCTGCCTCTCCGGGGTGGGATGGGCAAATTCACCGCCATCGTCAGCGTCTTCGCTCAGAGGAGGCGCAAAACAAATTCTATGAGGACCTGGACACACCTTTGGCGACTGCGCTGAAGGCGGATAAACTGATTATACTTGGTGACTTCAACGTCCGCGTCGGTACAGATAATGCTGTCTGGGGAGAAGTGCTGGGTCCCCATTGTCTCCACGGCTCCAATGCCAATGGCCTTCTCATCCTACGAACCTGCGAAAAACACCGGCTCATCCAGACGAACACCTCATTCCGCCTCTCGCTTCGAGATAGGCCACCTGGATGCACCTCCGTCACGGCACTGGCACCTGCTGGACTATCTTCCCTTCCGGATGCGAGACCAGCTGGACATGCTGGTGACAAAGGTGATCCCGGTTGCCGGCGAGTGGAGCGACCATCGTCTCGTCATCTTGAAGTTGCGGATACACCTACAGCATTGCAGAAGACCATAAGGTAAGCGACCTCCAGGTAAGCTGAATATTGCCTTGTTGTGTTTGTCTGCTCACCATCTCCATTTCAGCAACGACCTTGCTCAACGGCTAGCCTGCCTTCCAGTCGCCGTCGCTTCTGCTGACCAGAACGCCTCCTCGGAGAACCGATGATGACACCTCCGCAATACAGTCCAGTCGTCGGCCCTAGCTGTCCTCGGTCGCGCACGTCGCCAGCACCAGGACTGGTTTAGTGACAACGACGCTGCCATCAGCAACCTGCTGACAGCGAAGAACCGCCTGCACAAAAACCTACGTCACCCCTTCCATCGACGACGACAAAGCCGCCTTGTGCAACAGCGGCCGCACGAGATGCGGGACGTTTGCACTGCTCACAAATCCGAGGACATTCGAGGGTAAGCGGACCGAAACGAATGGAAAAATTTCTTCTCCGCAATCAAGGCTGCCCAAGGTCCGCAACCAAAGATACGGCATCCCTTCTCAGCGCCGACAGAAGTTTCCTAATCACCAAAAGGACACAAACTCTACAGCGATTGGCCGAGCACTTCCGGAGCGTCCTCAGTCGCCCCTCCACCATCTCCGACGCGGCCATCATCCGTCTGTCGCAAGTGGAGACTAGCGCCGGCCTCGACCTCCCACACTCTCCCCACAAAACCATTAGGGCAATGTAGCAGCTCTCCAGTAGGATGGCGCCCGACTCAGACGCGATAATTACAGGGATCTGCAAGCGCGATGGCCACTAACTCATGGGTCATCTGACTGAACTTTTCCAGGAGATGTGATGTTAAGGAGAAGTCCTGCAGGATTTCAAGAAAGCCCCAATCGTACACCTATACAAGCGGAGATGGAACCGCCAGCTCTGCGACAATTACCCAGACATTTCCCAGTTGAGCATCGTCGGGAAAATCATTAGTCGCGTACTTTTAAGTCGTCTGAACAATTATCTGGAACGGGACCTCCTGTCGAAACGCCAGCGCGGTTTCCGTCGTCGTTACGAAGCCACTGATACGATATTCGCCGTCCGCCAACTTCAGGAGAAGTGTCAGAAGATGCGAACCCACCTATACTCTACCTTCGTAGATCTGATGAAAGCCTTCGATATTATGAATCGTGACGGACTGTGGAAAATCATGCAGACATTCGGCTGTCCCGAACGATTCACTTAGATGATGCGTCAGCTCTACGATGGCATGATGGAGCGCATCACGGAAAAGGGAGCTGTCTCGGAAACATTCGCGGTGACTAACGGAGTGAAGCAGAGTTGCGTTCTCCCGCCCACCTTCTTCAGTCTTATTTTCGGTGCCATGCTGATGGACACCTACCGTGACGAACGCCCCGGGATCCGTATTGCCTACAGGACGGCCGACCACCTCCTCAATCAAAGGCGGATGTCTTTCCAATCGCGCGTGTCCACAACCACCGTTCACGAACTTCTCTTCACCGACGACTGAGCCCTCAACGCCACCTTGGAAGGGGAAATGCAAAAGAGCATATATCTCTTTGCCGCCGGCTGAGACAACTTCAACCTGGTCATCAATACAGGGAAGACGATGGTGTTGCATCAACCACCATCCGAACCCCAGATCAACGCGAACGGCGCAAAAATTGAAATGATGGACAAATTTATGTATCTGGGCAGCACGCTCTCCCGTAACACCAAAGTCGTCGATGTTCCAAAGCCAGCCAAGCATTGGGCCGTCTGCAGAACACCGTCTGGAACCGTCACGATTTCCATTTCAACACGAAGCTGAAGATGTACATGCAGTCATTCTGCCGACGCTGATGTATGGAGCAGAGACCTGGACGGACTACATGAAGCACGCGCGGAGACTCGACCACTTCCACCTCGCTTGTCCTCGTTTGTCCTCGCCGAATACTGAAGATGGAGTGGCAGAACCGGATCCGGACACTGACGTACTGGAGCGGACGTGAATCCTCAGCATCTATGCCATGATGAGACAAATGCAATTGCATTGGAACGACCACCTCGTACGCATGGACAGCGAGAAGCTACCCAAACGACTCTTCTATCGTAATGTCGTCATTGATTCCCGCCGCCAAGGAGGCCACATCCGTCGACACAAGGACACTCTGAACACCTCTCTGAAGCGTCTGCAGATCAACCCGGCCAATTAGGAAGACCTCGCTCGAGACCGACCGTCCTGGAGGAGGATGGTGAAGGCGGCGCAGCGATATACGAGTCCAACCGCCTCGTCGTTGCGAAAGCCAAAGGCGGAACTCGCAAATCTCAACTGCTGCCGCCGACGCCCAGACCCTCACCCCCCCCCCCAACCTGTCTATGGTGTCAGCGTCAGTTAGACTTAATGGACACTGCCAATAGAAGCCCTTCGGGAGGCCTCCACGTATTCGCAGATCCGGTATCTGCACAGGTGTCTCGACAATAATGTGTTGCCGAAATGTGTTTCATACAAGCCTCCGGTTAACACAGATTTGGGGAGACGGGCAGTATTTCAACATGGCAGAAGGATGATCCGAGTGCTCCTCCAAGATCGCCACGCGAGACTTCGCAAGTACCGTCAAAGGATTGACCAAGAAAATACCAGATGCTGTGAGTTCATGGGTGAGATCGGTACAAATCTGCTCCTGCAGAGGATAGCTGAACAAACCCGCGAACAGAGAATGATACGCGACGCAGCACTGAAGAACAAATTCCGAAAGCTGCCCAATCCAACGTCGCCCAGAAACGACAAACTGGTGCACAACCTGTCGTCAAAGGAGCTGACGAAGGATCAGATGCAGGTTTTAAGGCACGAAGCTTCATTCAACACGACTGACGCTAAACCTGTTAACATGATTGCAGCAGTGGAATCAATCCTTAGTCAGACGGAGGCAACGGAGGAGACCAAGAGCCTCATCCGACACCAAGTGTCGTCTCTCCTAGTGGCCCACAGGCCGCGGGAAGTGCTTTCCAAGGTCGAACGTGATGCGCTTAGAGAACTCAAGGCCGACAAAGACTTGGTCATCGTGCCAGCGGACAAGGGGCGCTCCACGGTTGTGCTGGACAGGACAGACTACCTTCAAAAAGCCAAAGGTTTGCTGGAGGACCGACAGTTCTATGTCCCATGTGCAACGAACCCTGTAAAAGCGCTGACACGCGAAATCAATGCTACGTTGTTGGCCTTGGAGAACTCAGGTGCAATAACACCGACCGACAGACGCATGGCGAGACCCCAAGATACGGCTTTGGCCCGATTCTATGGCCTCCCTAAGGTGCACAAAGACGGCGCTCCTCTCCGACCCATCGTGTCGCTCAAAGGTACTCCAACGTACGGACTGGCTAAGTGGCTGTTCCGGCGTCTCAAGTTCCTGACCGCTGAGTCAGACACCACGGTCTCTTCGTCAGCAGAATTCCTGGAGAGACTCAAAGGGGTAAGCCTCCATCCAAATGAGGTCATGGTATCTTTTGATGTTACATCCCTTTTTACTTCTATTCCCCAGGACCTGGCGATCGAGACAATCGAGCTGCTTCTGCAAAGCAAATACGATGAAACGGAGAATCGTCTTGGACGCGCCCAAGTCCTTCAGCTCCTGAAGTTCTGTCTCAGGACGTACTTCACGTTCGACGGGACAATCTACGAACAGGTGAAGGGCACACCAATGGGTTCGCCGATTTCGGGATTCATCGCCGAGGCGGTCCTGCAACGGTTAGAGTCGCTGGTCTTCCAACACCACAAACCGACGTTCTGGGCCCCGTATGTGGATGATACCTTCGTCGTTATCGATCGGGATCAACTGCTGACATTCAAGGAACGTCTGAATGCGGTCTTCCCGGACATACAATTTACGATGGAGGAGGAAGAGAACAACCAGCTGGCCTGCCTGGATGTCCTCGTATGCCGCAAGGATTGTGGTGGACTAAAGACCAAAGTGTTCAGGAAAGCGACAAATACGATGCAAGTACCGAACTTCAACAGCAACCACCCAATCAGTCACAAACGCAGTTGTGTAAGGACGCTCTATCGGCGTGTCGAAACACACTGCAGTGAGCCGGAAGACAAGATTGCTGAACTACAATACCTCGAACGGGTATTCAAAGCCAATGGCTACCCGAGCAACTTTCTCAACCGGTGCATACGCAAAATGGACGAAAGGCCTAACCGCAGGGACACCAAAGTTTGGCGAGCGCTTTCATATGTCAAGAACGTTTCGGAAGCTGTTGGCCGCCTTCTCGCACCGCTGGGGGTTGGAGTTGCACACAGGCCAGAAGCAACCATCAGGCGTCAATTGATGAAACCAAAAGGCCCACAGCCACGGCAAGAAACGTCTGGAGTCGTTTATCGGATCTGGTGCAGTTGCGGACAAAGCAACTACGTCGGAGAAACCGGAAGACAGCCCCGAACGCGAATGGCCGAACACGCTGCAGCAGTGCGGAGAAATGACGCCAGCTCTCAAGTTGCGGCTCATTCGACGGGTTCCGGCCACACATTCAAATTTGACGAGGCCGAAATTCTCGCAAGGGGTGACAACCGCGTGAGCCGGGAGCTGCTTGAGTCATGGTTCACTGGCCCCCAGTCTATTAACAAGTGCAATGATCTTCCCATTCAATACAGCGTGCTGAGACTTCGTCTAGGCGGAGAAATTGGCCACGCGGGGAGCGCCCTGATGAACACTCTTCCCAACACCCGGGTCAGCGCGTCAGATGGTCGAGCAATCATCACGCCAACATCCAACGCACGTGATGAAATTGCAGCAATTAACGACGCAAATATCGACCATCACGCCACGTGCAACGATCCCTGATGAAGGGGAGGGAGCCGTGAACATTCATAGGTATGCGGTGGCATGGCTACTGCATCCTATAAATACTGTAGCCACATGTGCATGAACCACCCTTATCTGCTTATGTCTCTGATGATGGATTCGAGCAGGAATCCGAAACGTCAGGCTAATAGAGCTCTTGTCCCGGCGATCGTGTCTTCTTCTTCTTACTGGACACTTTTGGACCAACTGCAGCACCCAGACTGCACCAAACGTCGTCTCTCTGTCAACCCCTCCCTCGCCTCCTATCAACGTCTGCTGTTGCGGCGTCTGCCATTAACGTCAATATTACACACAATCCTGGCACACCAAAAGATTTTAAAAAGGCGTCGCCAGGGCAGAATTCCTGAACCCAATGAGGCTGTCCACGTCAAAAAGGAAATACGAGAGGAAGCCAAACACAATCAGTGACGGTCCGCTTAGAGTCCAGCCAAGGAGGGGTCATTCAGGGCTGAGGCGGCCATGAAAACTTATGGGGGAGATGCGACCGCGACGATTCCTTCCTTACCGACCAAACAACTAGCAGATGACGAAAACAGAGGATTCTGCAGTGATCGACAACAGACCGCTTGGGGTCGAAATGAGGAGACGCCATCAAGGACTGTGAAAATTATCGTCACACGGGGGAGGAGTAATAACAATGATTTAGTAGTCACTTAAAATGGGGGGTTGTAACAATATAAATGAGTTTCCACCTGAACAAGCAAAACCTGCATGATCGACCATTAAATTCCAGGTAGACTCTTCTCAAATTCAAGAAACTTAGTGTTCGGGAACGAAACGATCAATAGCGACTTTATGCTTTCCGGTGTATGGTGCTGGCGTGATTTCAGTGTTAATACCAATAACTTAGGCGACGACCTAGGTTCTGGTGAAAGATTGTTCTAAAGGAGGACACGTTTAAATTAAAAAAGAGGGAACGTCTAGATGCAGAGCGAAGAAGCGGCGGAATAACCATGGAGGATTTAAGAGTGGCGTGAGATCCATCTATCGGAGTGACAGTGTCAACGCTCGGAAGACTAGAGCCAGAGTTAATGCGAAACAGGAAGCAACGACCAGCATCGAGTCTTTTAATCCACAAAAACTAAATGCCCGTCAAATGACATTTCTCAGTGTAAGGAATATTAGGTGTAACTTGGTAAAAGAACTTTCGAGTAGAAATGCTCTGAACATTTCCGATTTTATTACGATTACGGGAGTCCGTAAAGTTTAAGGTTAGAGTCAGGAATGGGTCAAGTGTCATCTTTTATGTAAGGATTAGCTTCAGCTTTACGGTTAACGTTAGAGGTAGGTCTATGATTCGTGTTAGTCTCCGGGATAATGTCAGTGGAAGACCTAATGTTGGCGTGAGCGTTAGACTTATGGACCTGGAGTATGATACACCCAGGTTCTTAATCACTTTAGGCACATTTATGTCGTGACCGTCAATATTTAGTTAAGGTTCAGTTCAGTTTATTGAAGGAAATAGACGTAAACCTTTCAGTGCTCTATTTGCAACGTAAAAATTTGTCGTGTACAAAAGACGATTCTGGGCTAAAATAGTTCAACTGGGCTCATAATGGTAGGACAAAATGGGAGTAAGTCACAGGGATGAGCTCGATCTCTCATCGCTCTTGGTCGTTTCGGAATATGAATATGTCAGAGTTCTTTTTAAAATTTGTGTATATGGTGA